TCCGCGTCCTCCTGCGGTCCCAGGCACACACCAGATGGCACAGCGTCCTTCCACTGCTCCTCTGCATGTCCCGTTGCCGTCTCCTCCAGAGTCCTCTCTTCCTGTTCTTGCTGACCCGGAGTCGGACTCTCTTCGTGCTGCCAGTCCTACTGTCACGCGTCTCCTGGGTATTGTTGTCACTGACCTTTCCATTGAGTCCACTGCTGCGTTTGCCTTAGTTGCTGAGCTTGTTGACGTTGCTGCTCGCTGTCGTCTAGACTACGCCGATAGTCTTTTTGCTGAGTCTGAGTCTGTCTGTCCTCCGTCCGTCGGGGGTGAGTGTGCTCTTAGCACGGACGTCCTTGAGGACAGGCAGGAGGAGCTCCAGTGTTTTGCTGCTGCTTTGCCTCATCTGTGAAAGTAAGCGGTAGGATATGGAGCCATAGCTAGGAAAGCCCTAGCTAGGCAAGAGAAAGTTTAGGCAAAGGAGCGATTAACTAGCAGGAATGAGGATACAAATAGCAAACCCTAGAAGGGTTGTACTCGCTATAGAGCACCCCACTACAGGCTAGAGCATAACATTCTGACACACCCCCATAGCCAAAGTGGGGTGTAATCAGCAGAGCAAGCAAAGCAGAACAAGCTCAGGGTGGATCACAATGTCACCACACATTCTGGGCACAAGTTCAAGAAGCAACAGTTTAAAGTTCACAAGTCTAAGCAAAGCTAGAGGCTATCGCAGAGGGCAGGTGAGGAGGAGGAGGCGAGACTGTAAGAGGAGAGGAGATAGGAGGCGACGACTGAAGCTGCAGACACACGGGCAACAGGAGGCACACTGGCACAGCGGCTACCGGAACAACGCTCCGGACTACTGGAGTAACTGGCCCCGCGGCTAAAAGTAGCGGCAGACAAGCAACGGACCCACGGGCGACTGGCATAGGTGGCTGCGACTGGGCTACCGGAGCAACTCCCCTGACTACAGGTGCTGCTGGCGACACGACGGCAACCTTCGTTCAACTTCCCCAAACAGTCCCACCCCCCCCTGACACGCACCCCCTGCTTCAACCCTAGCTCCACTCCCACGTCACCCCCCCTTAGTACCACTCCAACAGCTCCAACAGGTCCACCCCCCCCTCAGCGGCAGCTGCAGCACAGGGAGACGGAGGAGGAGGAGGAGCAGGGAACGGCACACAGAAGCTGCACCCCCATACCCCCCACCCCCAAACCCTAATCCAGGAGAACAGGCAGAAGGAGGGGTGGGGCGCCTTCAGAAGCACGGGGGACAGCGGGGAGGACAGGGGCAGCGAAGAACGGGCCGCCCACGGGCCTGGCACAGCCTCCCGAACCGCGCGCAGGCGGCCTAAGCCGCGCGCGGGCCTGGCGCAGCCCGTACGGGCCGCGCGCCGGCTGTACGGGCCGCGCGCAGGCCATGACGGGCGACGGGGGGCGACGCGCGGGTCCCCGTCGCCCGTCGCAGCGCCTCCCGGGAGCAACGCGCGGTGTGACGGGGCAGAAACCCGCCGCGCGCCTCGGGGCGCACGGCGAACAAAGAACCGCCGCGCGCCTCGGGGCGCACGGCGGGCAGAAAACCGCCGCACGCTCCGGGATGAAAACCCTAATCTCGACGCCGCGCACCACGGGGCGCGCGGCGGACAGGGAGAAGCAATAGCAGCGGAAGCAGTGAAGTGGGGCCCACAGGCCAGGAGCATATAGCTCTGATTTCATGTGAAAGTAAGCGGTAGGATTAAGAGCCATAGCTAGGAAAGCCCTAGCTAGGCAAGAGAAAGTTTAGGCAAAGGAGCGATTCATTAGCAGGAATGAGGATACAAATAGCAAACCCTAGAAGGGTTGTACTCGCTATAGAGCACCCCACTACAGGCTAGAGCATAACATTCTGACATCATCTCGTGTCCACGCTGATTGCCCCTGAGGGAGACCCGGATGCACCAGACATCCCGACTCCTCGATCGTACGCTGAGGTGATCGAGGGTCCCTACTCCTCATAGTGGCAGCCATGGAAGTCCACAGGCACCTACGTCGACGAGGTTCCCCCACCTGGGGCGAACATCGTCAGTGGCATGTGGATTTTCAGGGTGAAGCGGCCGTCGGGTTCTCCGCCTGTCTTCAAGGCGCGTTACGTGGCTCGAGGCTTCAGTCAGCGGCAGGGAGTTGACTACTTTCAGACCTTCTCTCCCACCCCGAAGATGACCACTCTTCGGGTGCTGCTGCACATAGCCGCTCAGCGCGACTACGAGCTTCACTCTCTTGACTTCAGCACAGCTTTCTTGCAGGGCAGCCTGCACGAGGAGATCTGGCTACGCCGCCCACCTGGCTTCACTGGGTCGTTTCTTCCTGGTACCCAGTGGAGCCTCCGGCGGCCAGTCTACGGTCTCCGCCAGGTGCCCCATGAGTGGCATGACACACTGAGGACTACACTTGCGGCTCTTGGGTTTGCTCCCTCTACAGCCGACCCGTTCCTGTTTCTACGCACCGACACCTCTTTGCCGCCGTTCTACATCCTCGTGTACGTCGACGACTTGGTCTTTGCCACTGCTGACACTGCTGGTCTTGCCCACGTAAGTCCGAGCTGCAGAAGAGACACACGTGCACAGACCTGGGTGAACTGCACAGCTACCTTGGCTTGCAGATCACCTGGGACAGAGCACAGCGCACCATTACCCTGACTCAGTCACACATGGTGCAGCAGGTCCTTCAGCGCTTCGACTTCACGTACTCCTCGCCTCAGGCCACTCCTCTGTCTACTCGCCACTCGCTCTCAGCTCAGCTTTCGGATGAGTCCGTAGAGCCGAGTGGCCCGTACCCAGAGCTTGTTGGCTGCCTCATGTACTTGATGACACGCACTCAACCTGACCTCGCATACCCTCTCAGCATCTTGGCACGCTATGTTGCTCCTGGGAGACACGGACCAGAGCACATGGCTGCAACGAAGAGGGTGTTGCGCTACTTGTGCAGTACGTCAGGCATGGGGCTAGTGCTTGGAGGGCGGCGTTCAGTGGTCCTCAACGGTCACGTAGACGCTTCTTGGGCTGACGACCAGGCTACGCAGCGGTCGTCATAGGGTTACACCTTCAGCCTTGGTTCCGGCTCTGTTTCGTGGCGGTCTACCCGCTCGTCTTCTGTTCTGTTTCGTGCCATGGCTGCACAGGAGCTACGCTGGCTCACCTACCTGCTGACTGACCTGGGAGAGCCGCCTCGTTCTGCTCCAGTTCTGTACGTAGACAACAAAGCCATGTTGGCCTTGTGTCGGGAGCACAGACTGGAGCACAGAACGAAACACATTGCTCTTCGCTACTTCCTTGCTCGTGAGCTGCAGCGGTCAGCTGCGCCTTGCTTACGTGGCCTCTTAGGCCAATACTGCTGATATCTTTACCAAGGCACTTCCGCCTTGTGATCATCAGCGCTTTTGTATGATGCTAGGTCTTGTGCCTACTTGGCCTCACTTGCTCACTTCTTGACCTTGCTTGTACTGTGATCTGTCTATACCTGCACTTGCTTGTTTACCTTAATGTATAATCTTGCATGTGAACTGGCCTTGTGGCCTTTGAACTTGTGCTCGGAATGTGTGGTGACGTTGTGATCCACCCTGAGCTTGCTGTGCTTTGCTTGACTGGTCTTGTGACCTCTTGTTCTCCCCCACTTTGCCTATGGGGGTGTGTCAAACTTATATACTTTAGTTTATCTAGGCTGTAGTGGGGTAGACACTATGGGGTACAACATTTCTAGGGTTTCTTACTTGTACTGACTTGTTTCTTAGTCATTCCATTCCTCGTTCTTCAACAAATTGTCGTGCGTCATTTAAGACGCATGTATACAGTAGAGGGTTACAATCGCAAAATAGGGTAACAAACATGAACATGAACTGTAAACGGACTCGTGGGACACGCCCTAATCTGGCACACAAATTTCGGGCACACGAATTCTGACACCTTGTCAGAAACTGTTATCTTGCGCCATTCGTGTGTCTTGATCTTCTCGAAACTTACAGGTACGAGCAGAGACAACTACTAGCTCCTAGACGACAGTTCATCTGTAACGCACCACCTAACTCACCACCTAACTTCTTCCTAGTCTAAGTCGATAAATGTCTCGACAGAAACCGGACTACGGGAGTTGAAGGTTGAGTTGGGAGAGAAAGGTTGGCTTGGTATTCCAAACCCCAACTTTGAGGCTTGGGACTTTCCAACCCAACAAAAGTGAAGGTTGGGAAGTTTTCCAACCCAACCAATTGAATGTGCAAGGTTGGATTTCCAACCAATGGGAAGTTGACAGTTGTTGTTACAATCCACACAAAGTTTAAAACAACCATACAATTGTGCTAAGTTGGGTTTTCCCCAACCAAACTAAAGTGCCACATAGGCTCCAAGCCTATTAGCTCCCCAACCATGGAAGCCATGGTTGGGAAGAGCCTCAAGGGGTATGATGGAAGGGGTTGGAGCTTTCAAGCTCATTCCCACTTCCCAACTCCAACTTACCAATTTGGAAATGAGATTTCTCTAAGTTCCTTGGTTCTCCTAACAAGCTCTCCTAGACAACTAGGGTTGTGATTCCCTAAGGACAAGTTCTACAAGAAGCTCTCTATTTGCTAAGGCTTCATCAACAACTACAACTTCTCCTCTCAAGATCTTTCAAGCTTAGCTTAAGGCTTGGTTATCCCTTGGTGGGATTAGCTAGATGATTTCAAGCCTTGTATCTTGATTTTATATAAGTTGTCAAGGAGGATTTATATTTAACACACGGTTGCCCGTTGCTATAAGGGCCGTGGTTGTTACATTATCAGTTTCGCGTGAGAGTATTTCGAAGAATCAATTAACCTATCCATCCATCAGGAGCCGTTGATTCTCATCAGTGTACAATGACTTGCTGTTTAATCCGTCAGGGCCTTGTAACCCGTCCGTTTGTTCATTCACCGCGCGGCTTCGCGTCAACGGCATCCTCGCGCCGCGACCCTTAGAAAGGCAGCGGTCGGATCATCACTAATGTCGGAGCAGCATCAGCCGCTCATGGCGGGTCCAGTGGTGCTCGTCACGGGATGCTCCTCCGGTGGTATCGGATCGGAGCTCTGCAAAGCCTTCGCCGCTAAAGGCTGCCGCGTGTTCGCTACCGCACGCCGACCCGACTCCATGCAGGATTTAGCAGGCAAGTGGCGAGTGTGAGTCCCAGCGCTCCCAGCATGAGTGTCTCAAGCGCCATCGAATCAGGGTATCGGGTTGGGACTGTGCAAGGCGTTCGCCGCTAAAGATGGTCGCGTGTTTGCATCCGCACGCCGCCCCGAATCCATGCAAGACTTAGCAGGTAGGCCAATGCAGGACCTCGCAGGTAAGCGGCCAGTGGGAGGCGTTTGTTCATCTTCAAGCCTTCTTGTCGCAAGTCAAATGTCACGTGATACTGAGCTTGTTTTGAGACGTCTCTGAAAAGTTTTGTTATCACGTAGCATGTGCATCAAAACTTGGCTCGCATGTCCCATGCACTGAACCCCTCTTCTCTGCCCCTTCCAGGGTTGGGGAGAGAGCTGGTGCGGTTAGAAGTCCAATCCATTCCCCACTGCCACCATTCAAAAGGGAAGGAGTCGGGAATGAGAGAGATCTCTCAAAGGTGGCTGATGGCTTTGAGCTAGATCGCTCAAAAGTCATCTTCATGAGCACATTTCCCCACATTAAATCTTCTCGTCGTCTCTTTTTTCCCTCTCGCCTCCTCCGCTTACCATTCTTTTCCTGTTTTCAGGGTTGGGAATCGAGACAGTGCAGCTAGATGTGACGTCCGCAGCCTCCATTCAGGAAGCCGTCAGCACAGTCATTGCCAAGGTGATTTGATTGGAACGTTTGATTCGATTCATGTGGGCTCTGTCAAACTGACGGTGCAGCTAGATGCAATGTGACGTCTGCAGCCTCCATTCAGGAAGCCGTCAGCACAGTCATTGCCAAGGTGACGATTAACGTGTGCTCCAAGGTGACGTTTTTGGCCTGTGCTCTGTCAAGGTGGCATTGGATTACCCCTACTCTGCTGCAGCCGTCAGCACAGTCATTGCCAAGGTGATGACGTTTGCAGTGAGTCGCTCGCTGGATAGTCATGGTCGATGGGATATGTGGACAGGGACGGCTATTCCTAGCGCAGCGTTCCTCTTGAAGCATTCCTGGTTGATACCAAAGCGTCCGCGGCCTCCAATCAGGAAGCCGTCAGCTCATTCATTGCCTAAGTGAGCTCTGATTTTATTGATCCGTTTGATTAGTGAAATGGCTTCTTCGTCAGCAAAACACATTGGAGGTGATTTTTGGGTCGTTTCAATTCAAGAGTCGTACTGTCATATCCAAGCTGTTGATTGGGGATGCCTCTGGGGGTGCAACGCTTGCTTGCTATGCCTTCTAATCGTCACCCCTCTTCCGCCCTGTTTCGCACCCGTGACGCAGGGCTGGCAGAATAGGCGTTCTGGTGAACAACGCCAGGGCAGGGTGCTTTGGCCCCATGGCGGAGATGCCTCAGGATGCACCTCTTGCTCTGCCTTCCAGTCATCACCCCTCATGCTTCCTCCCTTGCTCACCGACACAGGCCGGAAGAATAGACGTTCTGGTGAACAACGCCAGGGCTGGGTGCTTTGGCCCCATGGCGGAGATGCCTCAGGATGCAATGCTTGCTTGCTCGTATCGCTCCACCTTATCGCTGTGCTCACCCGTATCGCCCATGCTTGATGCCTGTCTGTCTGTCTCACCTGTCTGTCTTCCCTGTCTCACCTGTGCAGGCGGGCAGAAGAGACGTTCTGGTGAACAACGCGGGAGCAGGTGCTTTGGGCCCATGGCGGAGATGCCTCAGGATGCCCCCAACGTTCCAATGTTTCACGCTGCTTTTCCCTGTCTCATCTCATGCGTGCAGGCGGGTAGGAGAGAGTTGACTTTTGAGTCGACTCAAAAGTCAACTCTTCCGCTCTGCTTTTCCCTGTCTCATCGCATGCGTGCAGGCGGGCAGGATAGTCATACTGGTCAACAACGCGGGAGCGGGCTGCTTTGGCCCCATGGCGGAAATGCCTGTGGATGCCCCAACACACCGTTTTTCCACACTGGTTTTCCACGCTGCCCCAACACACCGTTTTTCCACACTGGTTTTCCACGCTGCCTCAACACACCGTTACTCATGGCATGTGTGCAGGCGGGCAGGATAGACATACTGGTGAACAATGCGGGGGCGGGCTGTTTTGGTCCCATGGCTGAGATGCCTCTGGATTCATTCCGCAGCAACATGGAGACCAACGTGGTTGGCCTGCTGGCCGTTACCCAGGCCGTGGTGCCTCACATGGTGGAGCAGGTGAGGCGAGGGGAGATGGGAGGTCATACAATGAATGTGGGTGTGGCGTTGAGTGAGGTGACCGCGAGCAGATGCCTCTGGATGCGCGCTCAGCTGCAGCATGGAAACCAACGTGCTTGGCCTGCTGGCTGTCACTCAAGTTGTTGTGCCGCATATGGTGGAGCAGGTGAGGGAGGGAAGGCAGGTAAGGCTGTGGAAGGAGAGCATGTGGGGGCTTTGGATGCCTTCCGCAGCAACATGACTTTTGAGTCGACTCAAAAGCATGTGGGGGCTTTGGATGCCTTCCGCAGCAACATGGAAACCAACGTGCTTGGCCTGCTGGCTGTCACTCGGGCCGTGGTGCCGCACATGGTGGAGCAGGTGAGGCAGGCGAGAGGGGGGAGAGCTTATAGAAGGCATGTGGGGGCGGTTATGAGGTGATAAAAGAAGTGTTTTGAGATGTCTTATATCTCCTCTTTTATCAGGGGGGAGAGCTTATAGAAGGCATGTGGGGGCGGTTCTCAGCAACATGCACACCAACGTGGTTGGTGTTTTGAGTCTCAAAACACTTCTTCAGTCAAGGGGAGAGCTTATAGAAGGCATGTGGGGGCGGTTCTCAGCAACATGCACACCAACGTGGTTGGCTGCTCACTGTCACATAGGCAGTGGTCCCCCCCCAACATGTCTTTTGAGTCGACTTAGAAGTCACCAACGTGGTTGGCTGCTCACTGTCACATAGGCAGTGGTCCCCCCCCAACATGTCTTTTGAGTCGACTCACAAGTCACCAACGTGGTTGGCTGCGCACTGTCACATAGGCAGTGGTCCCCCCCCAACATGTCTTTTGAGTCGACTCACAAGTCACCAACGTGGTTGGCCGCGCACTGTCACCTAGGCCTCAAAAGTCGTCTCAAGAGGTGCCTCAAAAGTGGTTGAGCAGGTGGGTGAGTGAAACATGTTCTGTTGATTGAGGTGCCTCAAAATTCGTCTCAAGAGGTGCCTCAAAAGTGGTTTCCCCCCATGTCGTGAAGCAGGTGGGTGAGGTGTGTTATGTCGCCTGCGCTATCCCCTTTCCTTCTCCTTTTGCTTTCTAATCCCCCCCCGTTCTTCTCCTTCTGCCATTCCGTTTCTTCCCCAACTCCCGCCGTCAGGCCAAAGGCAAGGTCGTGAGCATAGGGTCGGTGTCAGCATGGGTCACAACGCGCTTTGCTCCCGCCCATTTCTTATTCCTTGCATTTTCCGTCCCTCGCCCTCCTTGTCTACTCCCCCCTTCTATCAAATTTTCAGGGCACTGGCAAGGTCGTGAACATAGGGTCGGTGTCAGCATGGATCACAACGCCCCTTGCTCCTTCTGAGCTTTCTCCTCCTCCTTCCCTCCCCCCCATTCCAATCTGCAGGGCAGCGGCAAGGTCGTGAACATAGGGTCGGTGTCAGCATGGATCACAACGCCCCTTGCTCCTTCTGAGCTTTCTCCTCCTCCTTCCCTCCCCCCCATTCCAATCTGCAGGGCAGCGGCAAGGTCGTGAACATAGGGTCGGTGTCAGCATGGATCACAACGCCCCTTGCTCCTTCTGAGCTTTCTCCTCCTCCTTCCCTCCCCCCCATTCCAATCTGCAGGGCAGCGGCAAGGTCGTGAACATAGGGTCGGTGTCAGCATGGATCACAACGCCCCTTGCTCCTTCTGAGCTTTCTCCTCCTCCTTCCCTCCCCCCCATTCCAATCTGCAGGGCAGCGGCAAGATCGTGAACATAGGGTCGGTGTCAGCATGGTTCATCACACGCTTTGCGGGCACTGACTGTGCGGCCAAGGCAGGCAGGCAGGCAGACTGACTGAAGTTCACAGCATCACTCCCTTCCCCCCTTGCCTTCCACCCTCCGCCTTCTGCCTCCCCACGCGCTCTGCCCTTCTCTCAAATCGTCAGGGAAGTGGTAAAATCGTCAACATAGGGTCGTTGTCAGCATGGGTCACAACGCCCCTTGCTCCTTCTGAGCTTTCCCCTCCTCCTTCCCTCCCCCCCATTCCAATCCGCAGGGCAGTGGCAAGGTCGTGAACATAGGGTCGGTGTCAGCATGGATCACAACGCCCCTTGCTCCTTATGAGCTTTCCCCTCCTCCTTCCCTCCCCCCCATTCCAATCCGCAGGGAAGTGGCAAGGTCGTGAACATAGGGTCTGTCTCAGCATGGATCACCACACCCTTTGCTGGCACCTACTGTGCGGCCAAGGCAGCAGTGCACAGCATCACTCATGCGCTCCGAATGGAGTTGAAGCCGTTTGGCATTCAAGTCATGCTCGTCGCACCAGGCGCCATCAGGTAGGAGAGGGTTGTTCCAGATGTTGAGGTTCAAAAGAGCACCTACTGTCCAGCCAAGGCAAGGCAGCAGTGCACAGCATTACTCATGCGCTCTGGATGGAGAAGCCGTTTGGCATCCAAGTCATGCTCGTTGCTCCGGGCGCCATCAGGTAGGAGAGGGGCTGTGGAGATGGCTTGCAAGCGGCATGTATGTGGCCAAAGCGACTTTTGAGTCGACTCAATAGTCACTAGGAGAGGGCTGTGGAGATGGCTTGCAAGCGGCATGTATGTGGCCAAGGCAGCAGCAACTCCCTTCCCACAGTGCAGCCAAGGCCAGCAGTGCACATCACTCATGCACTACGGATGGAGCTGAAGCCATTTGCAATTCGGCTAAGGATATCTCCATCCATAGTAAGGCATGAGTGATGAGGCATGAGGGTCTTATGGGATCTCATCTGTTGTTGAGGCTCCCCATACGAGGCTACCTTTGCTGCTCAACAACAGTATCTCTGTCTCCCCCCCCTGCTGTCCTAGTTCTTACCTTGTGTACTATCACCTCCCCTCCCCTCCCATCCCATCCCATCCCCTCCCCTCCCCTCCCCTCCCATCCCATCCCCTCCCCTCCCCTCCCCTCCCCTCCCCTCCCATCCCATCCCCTCCCATCTTATCCCCTCCACACCATTTCCATGCATTTCCTTCACCCTGCTGCCCCTCTATTCCCCTCCCCTCCCCTCCCCTCCCCTCCCCTCTCCTCCTCCACACCACCATCCCAGGTCCAACTTTGGTGGCAACTCCTCCTCCTCCGTCTCCCACCTGCGCCTGAAGATCTCCTGCTTTCAGCAGCAGATAGAGGTTACTCGCATGCATGCTCTTCTCCCCCACCCTGGTGTCCGTCCCACCCTCTTCTATCCATTTCCTTCTTATTCCAACCCTTCCCCCCCTCTCCACACACGACCGTCCCAGGTCCAACTTTGGTGGGCACTCCTCCCTCCGTCTCCCACCTTCGTCTCAGGGTCGTCTCCTGCTTTCTGCAGCAGATAGAGGTTACATGCATTCCTCTTCACCCTGCTGCCCGTCTATTCCCCTCCCCTCCCCTCCCCTCTCCTCCTTCACACCACCATCCCAGGTCCAACTTTGGTGGCAACTGCTCCTCCTCCGTCTCCCACCTGCGCCTGAAGATCTCCTCCTGCTTTCAGCAGCAGATAGAGGTTACTCGCATGCATGCTCTTCTCCCCCACCCTGGTGTCCGTCCCACCCTCTTCTATCCATTTCCTTCTTATTCCAACCCTTCCCCCCCTCTCCACACACCACCGTCCCAGGTCCAACTTTGGTGGCAACTCCTCCTCCTCCTCCGTCTCCCACCTACGTCTCAGGGTCGTCTCCCGCTTTCTGCAGCAGATAGAGGTTACATGCATTCCTCGTCACCCTGCTACCCCTGTATTCCCCTCCCCTCCGCTCCCCTCTCCTCCTTCACACCATCATCCCAGGTCCAACTTCCGTGGCAACTGCTCCTCCTCCGTCTCCCACCTACGTCTCAGGGTCGTCTCCTGCTTTCTGCAGCAGATAGAGGTTACATGCATTCCTCTTCACCCTGCTGCCCCTCTATTCCCCTCCCATCCCCTCCCCTCCCCTCCCCTCCCCTCTCCTCCCCTCCCCTCTCCTCCTTCACACCATCATCCCAGGTCCAACTTCGGTGGCAACTGCTCTTCCTCCGTCTCCCACCTACGTCTCAGGGTCGTCTCCCGCTTTTTTGCAGCAGATAGAGGTTACGTGTATTCCTCTTCACCCTGCTGCCCCTCTATTCCCCTCCCATCCCCTCCCCTCCCCTCCCCTCCCCTCTCCTCCCCTCCCCTCTCCTCCTTCACACCATCATCCCAGGTCCAACTTCGGTGGCAACTGCTCTTCCTCCGTCTCCCACCTACGTCTCAGGGTCGTCTCCCGCTTTTTTGCAGCAGATAGAGGTTACGTGTATTCCTCTTCACCCTGCTGCCCCTCTATTCCCCTCCCATCCCCTCCCCTCCCCTCCCCTCCCCTCTCCTCCCCTCCCCTCTCCTCCTTCACACCATCATCCCAGGTCCAACTTCGGTGGCAACTGCTCTTCCTCCGTCTCCCACCTACGTCTCAGGGTCGTCTCCCGCTTTTTTGCAGCAGATAGAGGTTACGTGTATTCCTCTTCACCCTGCTGCCCCTCTATTCCCCTCCCCTCCCCTCCCCTCCCCTCCCCTTCCCTCCCCTCCCCTCCCCTCCCCTCCCCTCTCCTCCTTCACACCATCATCCCAGGTCCAACTTCGGTGGCAACTGCTCCTCCTCCGTCTCCCACCTACGTCTCAGGGTCGTCTCCTGCTTTCTGCAGCAGATAGAGGTTACATGCATTCCTCTTCACCCTGCTGCCCCTCTATTCCCCTCCCATCCCCTCCCCTCCCCTCCCCTCACCTCTCCTCCCCTCCCCTCTCCTCCTTCACACCATCATCCCAGGTCCAACTTCGGTGGCAACTGCTCTTCCTCCGTCTCCCACCTACGTCTCAGGGTCGTCTCCCGCTTTTTTGCAGCAGATAGAGGTTACGTGTATTCCTCTTCACCCTGCTGCCCCTCTATTCCCCTCCCCTCCCCTCCCCTCCCCTCCCCTCCCCTCCCCTCCCCTCCCCTCCCCTCCCCTCCCCTCCCCTTCCCTCCCCTCCCCTCCCCTCCCCTCCCCTCTCCTCCTTCACACCATCATCCCAGGTCCAACTTTGGTGGCAACTCCTCCTCCTCCGTCTCCCACCTGCGTCTCAAGATATTCTCCCGCTTTCAGAAGCAGATAGAGGCACGGGCGGGGGCGTCTCAAACGCCCCAGTCCACGCCAGGAGATGTGTTCGCCAGGGCTTTAGTGGAGGTGAGGGGGGGAAGGTGGTGCATAAGCTGCATGTATGTGTGTGCCTGTGCCTTCAGCGACATAGAGGCCAGGGCAGGGGCCTAGCAAACGCCCCAGTCCACGCCAAGAGACGTGTTCGCTAGGGCTCTGGTGGAGGTGAGGGTGGTGTGGGAGCGCTTTGTGTGTGCTTTGCTGCATGTATGTGCATTTGTGTATGTGTTTTGAGCAGCAGATAGAGGCCAGGGCAGGGGCCTCTCAAACGCCCCAGTTCCACACCAGGAGACGTGTTTGCAATGCAAGGGCTCTGATGGAGGTGAGGGTGGTGGTGAGGGTGGTGGTGAGGGTGGTGGTGAGGGTGGTGGTGAGGGTGGTGGTGAGGGTGGTGGTGAGGGTGGAGGTGAGGGTGGTGGTGAGGGTGGTGGTGAGGGTGGTGGTGAGGGTGGTGGTGAGGGCGGTGGTGAGGGTGGTGGTGAGGGTGGTGGTGAGGGTGGTGGTGAGGGTGGTGGTGAGGGTGGTGGTGAGGTGTTTTTTGTATGTGTGCGTCTGGGCGTCTGGACAGGTGCATGTGTGTTTGCATGTGCATGTGTATGTCCATGTGCCTGTGCATGTGCATGTGCGTGTGCATGTGCATGTGTGAGTTTGCATGTGCATGTGTGAGTTTGCATGTGCATGTGCATGTGCATGTGTGTGTGTGCATGCTTGCGCATGTGCATGTGTGCATGTGTGCACGTGTGCATGCATGTGCGTGTGCATGCATGTGCATGTACGATTGTTTTGGAATCTGGTGGGTTTGCTTCGTGCAGATTTCATTTGCATCTCTTGCCGTTCTATCCCCTCCCCCTCTATTTCCCTCCCTCCCTCCCTCTGCCAGAAAGCCTTGGTCAAGAAGGTACCAATAGCTGCCTTACAGCTTCCACTCGCCCTGTTCCACTCTCATGGCCCTGTTCCCCATTTCCCTCCTCGTTCCCCCCTTTTCCTTCCCCTCGCCCTCCACCTGAAATCCTTGGCCAATAGGGTGCCAATAGAGTGGGCGTTTGGTCACCTGGTGGGGTCATTCCGTGTCATGACATGGCTGCTTTACAGCTTTCACATACTACATCCCCATGCTTCCGTCCTCTCCCCTCTTCCTCTCCCCCACCCTTCTCAATACTCTCCCCCACCATCAGAAAGCCATGGCCAAGAGGGTGCCGATGGAGTGGGCGTTTGGGCATTTGGTGAGCTCATTCCGTGTCATGACATGTCTCCCTCCCCTTCCTTCCCCTCCCGACTTTTCCCTTTCCCCCCTCACCCTCCTCTTCCTGCTCTCCACCTTCCCAACGCCAGAAAGCCTTGGCCAAGAAGGTGCCAATAGAGTGGGCGTTTGGACATCTGGTGGGATCATTCCGTGTCATGACATGGCTGCCTTACAGCTTCAGAGATTCTGCACTCATGAAGAAATTTGGACTCACTAAGTAGGGTGCTTTGGTTGTAGGAGAATTGAAACACTAGTGCAGTTCCTTAAGTTTACTTCCCTGTTCGCTTTCTAATTTAGCTTGTTTAGTTTCTGGTTTCTTGTTTTTGGTTGATGCCATTTAAGAAATACAGGTAGCTGCAGAGAATCTTGGCGCAGGCCTCCAGCTGAAGGTTTGGGTTCAGGGTGCCATTATCTGGGTGAAGCCGCTATCTTTTGAATATTAATAACACATAAGATAATAGTAACCTTGAGCTCTTTCATGATTTCCATAAAAAGATGGATTCAGTCTTTAGCCTGTGTGGTAACTCAACCACTAGTTCAACAACCCTTTCGATGGACCCTGGGACTTGGGTTGACTTTCGGAAGCGCTCACTTTTTTTGAGCGACCCTCCCATATGTCGTCCAATCCACTCCAAATTCTGTAACCTGGCTTCGCCAGTCCGTAACTTCTACTCGCCCCTGCGTTGGTTCCTGTCGCGTACACCGTTGTCGTGGTCTGCATCTTGGGCTCACCCAAGCTTCACCCGCCTCGCTCACGGCAATCAAAGTCCGTAACCTCGTTCGCCGTCATCGCAATGTACGGCTCGCAGCGCACTGATACAATACGAGTCGCGGATAAGCAGATTGGAAGCATAAATTGGAACACAAATTATCTCGAAGCACATCCAGCAAACCTGAACTTGCTTTCTCAGCTGTAGAGAGCAACCAAACGCACACCTCCTTCCTCCAGATTTAGCTTGATTTGCATCAGCAGCATAACCAGCCAGGCGTCTACAAAAACATTTACCGCGCCAAAGCTAACGCATTGTTTTGCGTTGGATGAACGTCATGGAGAATACGAGGCTGATACCCATCGTTCTTCTCCTTCTGTTCGTCGGCTCGCACTCAGTGCACCTGGCACCTTCAACCCTGCCGAGCCGCCGTGGTCTTCTCACCAAACCCACTCCGCCTTCTAAAACTGCACATGGCCGCGACGCCAACGTTACCACCGCCCCAGTGGCTCCGAAGGTCGTCGCCGCGGCAAGTAATGATTCCGAATCAAGCGGGTCGACCGCGGATTTCAACAACACGTCAAGTGTTTCAAACACTGAAAATAATTCCGCCTCAACTCTCCCTCCGCGTGCTCCTGCTCATCACGTTGACGATGTTGGCGCGGCAGAGAAAGACGCACCCTTGAAGGTTGTGGGCGCGGGCGCTGCGGGCAAGGGCGCGGTGGAAAAGGGCGCAGCAGGCAAGGGCGCAACGGGCAAGGGCGCTGCAGGGAAGGGCGGAGCGGGAGCTACCGCAGCGGGTAAGGGCGCGGCGAACAAGGGCGCAGCAGGCAAGGGGGCGCCGGTCAAGGTCGCGGAAGGCAAGGGCGCGCAGGGCAAGGTTGCGGAAGGCAAGGGCACTCCGGGCAAGGTAGCGGAAGGCAAGGGCGCGCCGGGCAAGGTCGCGGAAGTCAAGGGCGCGCTGGGCAAGGTCGCGGAAGGCAAGGCCGCTCCGAGCAAGGCCGCGGAAGGCAAGGGCGCAACGGACGCTGGCGCAGCGGATAAGGGCGCGGCGAAGAAGGGCGCAGCAGGCAAGAGCGCAACAAACAAGGGCGCGACAGACAAGGGCGCAACGAACGCACAGCACGCCGCGCCGCCTCACATGGCCGCGCCGCCTCACATGGCTACGGCTGAGGATGTGGCGATCCACACCGTGAAGACGGCATCGAGCAATCATCCTGCTGGGTCGAACGCCCAGCGCGCCGCGCGTCCTCATATGGCGACGGCTGAGGACGTGGCGATTTTTCACCCGGGATCAGAAAAGGCGACGGCGGAAGGCGCAACAGTGGCTCCGATGCGAACGGCGGAGGGAGAGGCGCGTCCTCACATGGCGACAGCTGAGGATGCGGCGATCCACACCCTGACGACGGCATCTGCGAGTCAGAGCGCCGCGAACCAGCCTGCTGCTTCGATTATGGGAGCAAGCAAGAATCCCGTGCGTCCTCACATGGCGACGGCTGAGGATGTGGCGATCCACACCCCGAGCCCTAGCGGCGCTGAGACGGCATCAGGAAATCCTGCCGGGACAAACGCACAATTGCGCCAACACCACGCGCGTCCTCACATGGCGACAGCTGAGGACGTGGCGATCATTCACCCGGGATCAGTACAGGCGATGGCAACGGCAGCGCCGATGGGAGCGAAGGAGGGAGCGGCGCGTCCTCACATGGCGACGGCTGAGGACGTGGCGATTATTCACCCGGGATCAGCAACTATGACGGCGGCGGCGGCGGCGGTGGCGCCGATGCAAGCAGAGGAGGGCGAGGCGTGGAGAAATGTGGCGGTCGATAATGACAGGGAGAACGACAACGTCAGAGACGGCGACAGGATGAGTGACAGCGACCGGGACGGCGACAATGAGAAGGACAATGTCAATGATGCAGTGCAGTGGCATGGAAGGGAGAGCAGCAGCACGCGCATGAATGTTGACAGCAAGGGACAGCGACGCCGGGGCAGGACTCGTGGCTCTGGCAAGGGAGCATCATCCCTCTTGTCTCGCTTCAGCAACAGCCGTGGGTGGGAGCCTCGCGGCAATCACCGCACTGGGCTGGACAAGGCACAGCAGTTTCGCATGGCGACGAGCAGCGATGTGGCCATTCGCGAGGGAGGGATTCAAGGCGCGAACCGTGGTGTGCACTACGGGAGCAACAATGGCAACAACGGCTGGGAGCTTGAGGACAATCAGCGCAACGGGTTCCACAAGGCACAGCAGTTTCGCATGGCGACGAGCAGCGACGTGGCCATTCACAGGAGCGGGGTGCAAGGCGCGGACCTTGGTGTGAACCGCAGGAGCTGGCTTGACATGGCACCAGGGTTCCTCATGGCAACAGCCAGGGATGTCGCCATTCCCACGAGCGGGGTGCAAGGCGCGGACCGTGGTGTGAACTATGGGAATGAGCGGTTGGGCGCACAAGCTGAGGGCGGCGATTGCGATGGTGACAACAACGGCGGCGGCATTGACAACGGCGGCGAGAACGCCAACGGAGACGGCGGAGGAGGAGGAGGGCAGATCGACATTGGCGCGATCCTGGAGGTGCACAACGTGGCGCGGCGGGAGGTGGGGGTGCCGGACCTGGCATGGGACGACGGCGTGGCAGCAGCAGCGCAGGAGTGGGCGGATCAGCTGGCGGGCGCGGGGTGCCCGCTGCAGCACGGCGGCGCGGAGGGGCTCGGGCAGAACCTGTACTGGCGCGCGCCGGCCGCGCTGACCCCCGAGGAGGATCGCATGGCGGTGCAGGCGTGGGTGGATGAGAAGGCGGATTGGAGTTATAGCCCCGTGCCGGAGGGGTGCGCGGAGGGGCGGATGTGCGGGCATTACACGCAGGTGGTGTGGGCGGGGACGACCCATGTGGGGTGTGCGTCGGCGCAGTGCCCTGATGGGGGTGGCATGTGGGTGTGTGATTACTCGCCCCAGGGGAACATCATTGGGTCCACTCCGTTCTAGAGCGGTGGAGTGGGGTGGGACGACCCATGTGGGGTGTGCGCCGGCGCAATGCCCTGATGGGGGTGGCATGTGGGTGTGTGATTACTCGCCGCAGGGGAATATCATTGGGTCCACTCCGTTTTAGAGTGGTGGTGATGGTTCTGTGAACCTTGATTTGTGCGCTCGGGGTAGGAGGGAAGTCTTATGAATGGTTTCTACTTGCGTATATGCGATGTCTGAGTTGATTTTGGAACATTTACTGTTTTGGAACATTTAGTACTGGTCACTAACGGTCATCTTGCAAATGAGGATGACTGAGGATGATGCATGCGGCGAGAAGCGAGACACTGCTGCCACTGCCAATGCTACTGCTGCTGCTGCTGCTGATCCTGTTGCTGCCGCCGGAGCTCCAGCTGCTGCAGCTGTAGTGGCGGCTCCAGCTGCCGCGGCCCAGCCTTGCGCGACTGGGCTGGGCTTTAGATATCTCCCGTACCACGCGACAATCCACGTCGCGTCTACGGCGCTGACGCTGGTCGTCGCGCAATCCGTCGTGCTGATGATGAAGAGTCAACACTACTACTATTGATCGAACACTATTGAGGCGCCTCGAAAATAATCCACGGCGCTGATCAGCATCGATGCTGGTCGTCGCGCAAGCCGTTGTGCTGATACTGCAATCCCAGTACCTAAGAACGCTGAGAACGCTGATATAAGTACTAGTCGTAGTACGCTGAGAACGCTGATATAAGTACTAGTCGTAGTACGCTGAGAACAACAGGCGGGCACCCAATAGCGATTGCTGCTGGCGGAGGGGGTATTCAGAAAGGTGCTGAGCGGGCGGCGGGAAGTGAGTTGAAGAGAAACGACCATCAATTCCTACAGAGGACGACAGGAGGAGAAAAGGGCAGCGAGACGGAAATGAGGAGAAAAGGAAATTGAAGCACAGTTCTTGCTGTAAAGCGAGGATACGTGCATGGTTCGAGAGGGGAAAAGCGGAAGTCACGGCGAGAGTTACGAGGGATACAAGGGATGAAGGTGGTGCTGGGCGGGGTGAAGGGAAAGGTGCCACGTCGAGAGTGGGGAGGGGAGCCGACGAAAAAAGACAGCACTCGCCAGCTACCGCTACTGGCGCGAGTAATGCTCTGGTTACAGTTTTCGTTAACGTCGCAAAAACGCGAACGGGTGTCAACTCGACCTTCGCCGAACAAGACGAGAATGTTGTTTGAGATAGGCGCGTCGCGAGCGGAAGACATGCAGTCCGGCTGTCTCCTAAATTCTAGAACTATGATGGCATAATATGGTAAATACCTGTACGTGAATACAGGGTTGTGGATGTGATACTGACTTTAAAATCCATGTGAAATTATGCGTTAATATCACCACCAGTAATGGACTAAACCACACCAGCATTGGTTTGCACATAGGCCTATTCCACTGAAGCCAACATCACATACACGGAATCAGGGAACACTGAAAACTCCTTACAAGAAGCTGCGATTCTTGCTTTGGATGAGCACAGGGCAGCAAAGAAAACCACCCTGCTTGCTTCACGATCCCATTTTCGTGCAGAACAGTGACAAGGCAACAGCAGCCTAATCCCGGCACATTTTCAACACTGCAAACTCCGTCCATGATGCATCAAGCTGCCCGGGCTCCTGCCCTGAATCCTGCCATGTATGCAGCTCCCTGGGTGCAGCAGCTGTGCTTGGTGCTGCTCTGAGCTTAGAAGCCCAGCTTCGTACGCCTCCAGTGCCGACGCTTGGCGTTGTACCTGCGGGGAGCAGTTGGGGGAACAGACGAAGTCACACAGGCCAATTACGAAGGGGATCAGATGTACTCCTGTACTTTTCAGCTTCGTACGCCTCCAGTGCCGACGCTTGACGTTGCACCTGCGAGGAACAGAAAGTGGTAGGAGCCAATGGCAGGAGGGGACCAACACAGGTAAAAGGGTGAGAAAACAAACGCCTGTTACTAGAACCTTCAGGTGCATTCAGTGCCGGCGCTTGCACTAACGGAGGATGAAGGAGAAGCTTGCAGCGCCTATGATAAGGGTGTGAGTCCAGACCTGGGACTTCGAGCCCAACCCGCCACTTTCCCCAGGTAACAGACCCAGTCAGAGCCACTCCACTGGTTCCTACCTGAGCCAATGGCATTCGAGAGGGCACCTACTGAGCTGGCTCGAGGACTCAAATCTCGTTATCCTAAAAGGAGAGATTGCCACGGCGGTTTTTCAGGCGCTTCAGAAAGAAACCACCTCTTGAGCTGGCTCAAGGACTCATATCTCGTTATCCTCGAAGGAGAGTTTGCCTTGTTTTGAAGCGCCTCAAAGCAAGCCAATGCCATTCAGGATGGCACCTACCGAGCTGTCTCGCGGACACATATCTCGTTATCCTAGGAGAGTTTGTCACGGCATCCGCTATGCCCCTTCCAGCTCTGTCGATTTCTGCCCTGTCGGGTTCTGTCCTGTCATTTTCTGCCCTGTCGGTTTCTGTCCTGTCGTTTTCCGCCCTGTCCGTTCCTGGCGTGTCGGTTTCTGCCATGTAGCCGTCCTGACCTGGACATTTCTGCCTGTCTGCTCCATCTGTATCGGTTACTGCCTGTCGGCCAGTCTGTAAGTCGCTGCCTGGCCTCTCGATACGTTTCAGGCGACTACAAAGGGGGTCGTTCGAGATGCCTCGCAAATCTACCCTTGACATTTCCGAGGATTCTGAATCGTATCCCCGGACAGTCTTTGAGGCGCCTACAGAATCGGCGCTACTCTTTTCCTGGCATCTCGTGAACACAAAGGGGGTCGTTCGAGACGTCTCGCGGCTCAACTCTTCACATTCACGCGGATTCTGAATCATGTCTACGGACTATCGAGGCACGCTTTCTTCTCTCAGCCTTAACCGAAAGCCCCACGAACCTAGGCCGTTCTCGTTAGTCTGGAACCCCTGATGCGACCAGCTACACCTGCTCGCTGCGAGAAAAGCACTACAAACCCTACTCCGTGAACCGTCAATGACGACTAATCTCCTGCCGCTCGCCGACTTCCTCCAGACCTAACCGAGTTTGTCCGTACTATATCGGATATCCCCCAGATGCGGTTAACTACACCTGCTCGTTAAAATAGTCCCGGCTCCTTGATGCCTTCCCTCCTGTCCCCTCAATAGTCGAAACCACGTGAAATTATAAGTGTTTTGAGAAGTCTTAATACACTTCTGATTTCACGTGACTAGTCCCGGCTCCTTGATCCCTTCCCTCCTGTCCCATCAATATTCGAAGCACGCTCTCCAGGGGAAGGGCAAGGATACAAGGGGGAGATGCAAAGGGTGGACGGGGGAGAGGAAGGGAGGAATAGGGGGGGAGGGGGAAGGAGGGGAAGAAGGAGGCGTCCGGGGAAGTGGGTGGGGAAGGGAGGGGCTCCCGGAAAAAAAGATGAGATCTTGCCGGAATGCAAGCTAAGAAGATAATAAACGGAAATCGGTCATAGATGGGCCAGTTCCGCTTCTGAGGCGCCTCAAAAGTTCCGCTTCAACCAGTGCGAATTTGCGTGGAACGTACCGAACCTTGTTGTCGGTGCGCAGCCGGATCCAGTAGGGGATGGGGCGACTCTGCTTCGTTTTCACGCCTCTCACACTGTTTAACCAACTCAAACGTACCGAACTTTGTTGACTAAATTCAACGTACCGAATCTTGTTGTCGGTGCGCAGGCGGATCCAGTAGGGGATGGGCCGGTTCTGCTTCATCTTCTTCGCGAGCTTGATCTTGATGCGGAAGGCCTTGTGGGAAGGCTGCACGTGGAGACAAAGGAGAGGGGGGCGAGGAGTGAACGCCGAACAGAAGTAGGGGGGTGGGGGGGGGGGGGGGGGGGGGGGGGGGAGGGTGGGGAGGAAGGTGATTGAGATTGTTGCGTAAGACCTTGTGGGAAGGCTGTACGTAGCGTCACGGGGAGGAAAGGAGTGTGTGGGGGGGAAGGGGAGAGGAGGGGGGGATGGAGGGCTTGCAGCGGAATGCTTTGTGGGAAGGCTGTGCGGTGTCGTAGGGAGAAGGACGTGAAGAGACGGAAGGAGAGGTGCGTGGAAAAGGGGAGGTTATGGGGTTGATGCGGAAGAGCGGGACGAATGGGGAGGAGCAGGGGAGGGGGGCGGCGAAGAAAGGGTGGGGGGATGAGAAAGGCGGGCGCGTAAACAACTAGGTTAGAGAGAGGGCTGGATTGCAAGAGAAGTTGCGGACGAGGGGAGGAAATGGGGAACGGGGAAGGAAACGGGAGGAGGGGAAAGGGGATGTATGGAGAGAAGAGGATGGGAAGTGGGCCCAGAGTATTCTTGAGATGCCATTTGTTTGAGGTTGATTTTGAGAATTCTCAAAATCAACCTCAAACAAAAAGGAATCGGGAGGAGGGGGAAGGGGATGTAGGGAGAGAAGAGGATGGAAAGTGGGGCCAGAGTATACTTGAGATGCCTAGCGAACAAGAGTACTAAGGAAGTTATAAGCTGGATTGACCACTAAACGCGACGGAAACGCGCAGGCGTTTCGACATTGCCTTATAAACGGGCCAAAACACAAAGATCCATCGCACTTTTCGTATCATAACACCTGGCAGGGTCAAAATGGAGACTCCTGGCCCGTTACCTAACCTAGCCCTAGGGCTGGCCCTAATAAGTTAATTAATGCATGCCAGGAGGAAGTAACATGCGGGCCGTATAGTCTTTGAGTCAAACAATACGAGGCTTGATCAGTACAGCAAACCCTAAAATTGCAAACTAAACAAATTCGAAACGGAGAATTCGCGGGCCTGCGACAGCGGGAGAAACAACGACGGTGCGCGTGCTTCGGCAGAGGTAACGCGACGGATTGAGAACGCGGTGCGGGAAGGCTAAGGAGGGAACTGACCATGGCGGCAAGTTAGGGTGGAGTAGCAGAACGCGTGTGGGTCGTGACCAAGCGAGAAGGGAGGAAAGAGAAGAGAGCATCTTCGTGGGTGGCGTTTGATCAGAGCTGTGCAGAGATGGCGCGGAGTGGAAGGGGGGAGGGGGGAG